ACAAGAGCTTCTTTGACCTTATTTGCAGTGTATAAAGTGCTAAAATAAATAATGCAAAATAGAATAGGATTCCAATTGGACTGAACGAAAGAAAGAGAGGGACAGACAGACAGAAAGAAAAATGAAAAATAATAAGAACATAATAATAAAAGGGAAACAGTGGTGGAAAGAAGAAGAAGAACAGTGAAGGATGGGAAGGAAAAATTGGGAGAAATGTGGAGTCGAGAACGGCTAAAAATAGCGCAAGTAAAAAAGAAAGAGAGTCTGGTATGTAGGACGGGATTGACAATTGAAAATGAGAGCGATGAAGATGACTTAGAAATCCAGAAAGACAAATCCAGATCTCATAATTACAGATTCCTTTGCATTTTCAAAGCTGATGCAATGCATCTATATAGCAGAGAAACTCAGATGTATCTTTTCTTGTAGATGTTTTGGCTTATATCTGTCAAGCCGACAGCTTGGGCAAAAAAATACACACCCAAGATCATTACGAATATTCATGAGGGCTGTATGACATCAGGACGTGGGTGTCGCATATAGACTGCTCTTTTTATCCACGAAGAACAGATCTCTCTCTCTCTGTGTATGTGTGTTTTCCAGTGCTGTCAGGGATCTGGACAAGGTGAACGGCCTCATTAAGATCTCGTCAGATGTCTTCAGCTCTCCCGAGGCTCATTCAGACTCTTCTGATCAGCAAGGTCGAGTGTACTGCGATCAGACTGTGTAATGTCTGCTGGTGATTGACAGCTCTAAAGTCTAGTGATGAGCCAACTGGAGCGATAGTCCCACCCATAGTTTCTAGAGGAGTGTGTTGTCATTTCAGGTATCAGTTCAATTCTAAATCCTTTAGGGCTCTATTTTAACGTTCAAGGCGCAAAGTCTAAAGCGCAGCAAAAGGAGTGTAAAAAAAAATCAGGGTGTACTCACACTATGTACAGTTGCCTTGAAACGGACCAAAGCACACTTGGCCCCTCCCGCCTCACCCGATGGCCCACACTCACATTGCATTTGGGCCTGGACATGCTTACTGTATGTCATCGATGATGCGCTGGTCAGAAGCGATCTCGCTCAGCACAGTGGAGATTTCTTTAGTTATGTCATTTTTGTCGTTTGTGATGCAGTGACACGCAGTAAAATATTTAGCCGAACAGATCAGCCACCTTTGAAGCTCATAAACAATCATAAAGTCCTTGTGCTGCAGAAATTAGGAGGTTTGCTGAAGGTGCAGCTGTTGTGCAGTTAGGGGTTTGCGTCTTTAAAAAAAAAATTTATTTAAAGATTTATTTTCTGCCTTTTTTTTGCCTTTATTACGTGGATAAGACAGTATTTCAGACAGGAAGCAAAGTGGGCAACCCAAGCTCATTGTGGAAACGTAGCCCCGCGGACATTTCTGGAGACCGCGATTTACGTGGCCGGAGGTACGTACGGCCGCGTTTAGTTTTTTTCGAGCGAACGCTGCGGGGTGGTGTGGCGCCTCCGGAGGGCTTTCCCGATGCAACCAGTTTGTCCACTTAGCTTACAGCGTTACGTCGGTGGAGCGGAGACCCGGAGGAGGAGGAGCTGGCCGCGGGGACGACGACCGGGATCGAGTCCGGGGAACAGCGGTTCCAGAAATCAGGTAAGATGAAAAACAGAATCCAAAAAATAAGGATGAGAACGCGGCGGCATCCGAAAACGCGGTCGAAATCGAAGACGAGGGCTTTTGCCCTCGAAAAGCAGGGCGGCCGGGCTTTTTGCGCGAGAACAGCGCGGGCGCGAACGGCGCGTGCTCCCGAGAGGCACCCGAGACGCGAAAAAGCGCGCACAGCGGCCTCTCGCGGATTCGCGTAAACAAAAACCGCTCGAATACGTACCTCCCGAGATGTATCTCGCGGTCCGTAGAAACGTTTCCACAATGAGCCCGGGTTGAAAGTGGGAGAGAGAGAGGGGTTAGGGATGGGAAATGTTTTTGAGCTGGGATTCAAACTCGGGACGTCCTGAAGTGCTAAAGCACCATATTTCGACGCGCTAACCACTAGGCTATTGCGCCGGGTTTATGTCATCACTAATCTACGACAGTTCTTGCGTTCATTGAACAGTAAGAATGACTAATAAATCAATATGAAACAGTCCCTTAAAAGTCACGTCTCATCTTTAGTTTCGGGCTTAGGCGTGCTTTGCACTCATACTACAAGTGTACCAAATCTGAGTCCAAGTAAGCTTCGCTCTGGCACAACTCTTCCAACCGGACCATGGCCAGTCAGCTGAACCGTGCCTGAA